TAGTGGTGAGGAAATAGAAAAAAAATTAGATAAAAAGTTAAATACAAGAAATTTTCACGTGAAAATGCTTTACCTATGAATTAATGGCGCTTCCAGATCCATAATAGGATAACAAGGCACGACGTTCTTGATGGGTTGAATCTTTGGAATGCGCTCCGAAGCCCAAACCTGTAACAGTTAACAACACTAAATTTAAGAATAACAATAGCTAAAAAAATCAAAATCAAAATACCAAAGCATACTCACGCCAATACAGTGCAGCCGCTCACGTCATTATGGCCGAATTAACATGCATTACACAGGCCATTATACAAAAATGCCAAGACTGCTGAACCCCAATCAAGCGGACCACATGACTCTAAATCTTGAACGTGTATCAAATAGCACAGAGATATCATGTTTCTGATTTTATCTGCGAACAAGAAGGAAGCCAATAAATATAGAATAAAAGCCCGAGCCCTCTTGTCATAAGCTTCATCATCATCAGGTAAGTCTGCTGGCAGTTTGCGTTTCAGCTCGGCTTCAAGGGGTTCCGCATATATCTTAAAACCTTTGAAATGGGCAGCGCTAGGAGCAAAACGACACAAATTGTAACAATATTCAATCCACTGAGCCCTATCAATACCGATTGTTCTCCCCAAGGCGGCGGGACCATCCACGCGGAGCCCAAACAACACCTCAACATCCTGGAGGGTGATTGTGGTCTCGCCAACATAGAAATGGAACGTATGGGTCTCAGGATGCCACCGTTCCACCAAGGCAGTTATTACTGCATGGTCGAGGGTAATTTCCCCAATTTTCAAGATTCTCCCAAAACCGGCTAGGGTAATCCTATCTATTACAGGTTTAGGGGCGTCTTTTACAGCCTCCCAGAATCGGTGATCAAATCTCCTACATTTCAAACTTTTCGACCTAATTTTTGGAGCTATATCTTCAAGGACAACTTTAGACCTATGGTAATCTTGCATATATAACAACTCTTAATTAACCGGACCTGGTTCAAGATATTTTCGAGTGGTGTTGCGAGAATGAACTTGCCATATTCCTACACTTACACAAATTCAATAAAAACAAAGTGTGTTGGGTGAGCAAACATCTCTCGTTTATTAAATCCCACCCCTCCAATTTTCTCCTCTTTCTTCAGAATACAGTTGAAATCCCCTCCCACAATCCATGAGAGGGTATTCTACTGCAACTACATTAGACTCAGTCATAATCTAGATCTCTCACTCTGTAAATTTTTTTTCATACACTACTGTCATTAAGAACTCACGATTTTCCACCTTATCCTTCACTCTACAATGCATATACTGGTCCTCTATAGTTACATTCTCCACATCAAAATCAGTTCTCCTCCATATTACCATAATCCTTCCCTTCTGCCCTGAGATGCATTATCCATCCAACCATAATACCTCCACCATCTACCCATAACTTACCCCAATCACGATGCAAAAATTTATTCATAATTTGGTAAGGAAGATTAATTCCTAACATAAACAAACCACCTAATTTTTCCAATAACCCTTTTTGTTGTAGTCTGTCTCCTCAGCACCATTCTAGTCCCTCTACCCCCTCCTTGCATGTTGTTACTTTCAACCTGACAATCCCCCTGTTTTTCAACATTCCTTTTAACCCCTTTTATCTTCTGATCCTTCTGAACTTTATTCATCCCTTTACCATTATCCTTTTTCAACTCCCCATTGTCCGTGATTTGGATTTCTTTGCCAGTTGCTTAGCACGACTACTCTGCCCTACTTCCACTTGCTCTTTCTTCTCTACAGTTGCTGTTTCTTCTTGACATTTCTATTGCCAACCTAGTTTCGCTGGTGTTTTGCATTTGTTTTTCGAATGTCCATAGCCCTTACATTGTGTACACATGGTTGGCCTCCACTCATACACTATCCTCTGCTCCTGTAGCAACCCATTCTCATCCACAAATTTGAAACTTTCAGCCAGATTCTCCTTGATCTCCATTTCTACTAATACTCTTGCAAAACTAGCTCTCATTTTATGGCACGTCGTTTCATCCATCTACTTCGGCTTCTCTATAAGGCTTAACATTTTGCTCAAGGTACTAGGACTGCAGTACTTCAGTTCCAAATTTGGTAATTGTATCCAGATTGGGACACTGGAAATATCCTCACACTTAAACCCTTTCTGAATATACCATTCTTTCACAATAAGTGGCTTACTGAAATAATGATGAGTGGAATTTAATGCCTCTTTCTTTGCCAATGCATTCTTCAATTGAACAATGTAATAGCCCTCATCTCTTCTGAGAATCTTTTCTACACCCAACTTACCCCAAACACGATGCAAAAATTTATTCATAATCTGGTAAGGAAGATTAATTCCTAATACAAAACAAACCATCGAATTTTTCCAATAATCAATTACATTTTCTACATCCTGCATAGTTATAACGGCAACTTCTTCTTCCTCAACAACTACTGGCTCTACATAGTTCAATTCTGGACTTTGAAGTTTCAATTATTTCAAATTAAAGGAAGCCCAAACCCCCTCCACAACCCTCTCAGTCTCCCGTCCATCATGATTAACCCCCTTCCCTTTGTTATTCCCCAATTCATACTCTATCGCAGAGCTACTACCAATCAATTCATTTAAATTTGGAGTACTTACATGTTGCACCTTGGAGTTGGCGTTTATCAAATCACTATGTGCATCATCCAAGCTCTTTGTGACATCGCGAACCTGCACTCCCAGCTTTCCCCCTTCTCGATCGTTTGTTCGTGCTTCCCCCCATCCTTTCGATTTCCTTCGATTCGTCCTAATATCAATCTTTCGCTCTCTTTCCCGCTTGATTTCATCGGTTCCTTCGTCAAAGCGCCACCTCTACCTCTCCCTTTGGCCATCTCTGGCATACGATTTAGGACATATGCGAAGAGAGAGTCGAGGGGATTTCTAACGTCAGCATGTTTAGAGAGAGAAATACCGTACATATTTTTCTTTAAATATTTCGACACATGTCTTATCTTTTAAACTCTCCATATAATAGAAAATTTTGTCATTATTTCTTTCCATATAATTATCTTTATTTTTCATCTTTTTATATCTTTTGCAACGTTTCTTAGATGTTTGTTCGTATATTTTTCATATAATATAGTGTTTACTTCATTTTCTATATATTTTCTTGCAACCTTTTTTTTAGAAGTTTGAATACTAAATTTTCTATATATTTAGTATAGAAAATTTTGTTTACTTCATATAATTTAGTTTCTTTATTTTCTGTAATATAGTGTTTACTTCATTTAGTTATCTTGATAGCATAGTCTTTAGCTTTTTTTTTTCTTTCTAAATTTGATAACTTTCCTTTAAAGTTTCATTTCTTGAAAAATTTGATATGATTAATTTCATTTTTCACTATTATCGTAGTTCCAATTTTTCATATTTTTCTTATTCTCTACATGTTTTTTTATCCATATAATTATTTTGAATATCTCAAAATACTTTTTTTTCTACTGTTTGTCTCTCACAATAACTTTTATTCTTTTTCAATATCCCAATATGCTTTTCTTTCCCTCTCTAGGTTTTGTTTTATCGCCATAATGTTAACTGATTCTACCACTATATCATATAGAAAAAATATTATTAACATATTATATTATTAGATTAATTTATTAGTAATTATTTATTATATTATATTATAAATTAAATTGTAAAAAGTTTGCCAATTATTATATAATTATATCATTAATATTATTATTATTGTATTGTATTTCTTTTGTAATTTTTACACAACACATAAACAACAATAATCATTGAAGTGATAATTGATTAATTGTGTTTGGCCACTTTATTTTGGACTTTTGGGCTGATCGAGTGCATGTTGAAGAGAAAGCACAACCAGGTGATAGTTAATTAATTAAATTGAGCCCAAGGAATTAAAGAAGTATCATTCAAATTTACCTTTAAAAGATTATATTTTAGTTAATTTAGTGTTATCTACAAACTTATAATTTTAACTTAAAAAAATTACCGTTAAATGATAGAGTGTTGTGGTTGCGACATGTGGACTTAGCTATCTAATTTTTTGTCATGTGGATTAACCTATCTAATTTTACGCCATGTGTCCGATTGAGAACTCTCCTTTTATATTGATAGATATAGGGATACACAGATATATAGACTATATTTCTAAAATGGAAAGAATGCAATAAAGTGCACTATGAAATAAAAGTAATATATAATTATCTTTATATATAAACCAATTTAATCAATCACTACCCTATTTTAGTGTACATTTTCACGAGTTATATAATTTTTCATTAAGAATCCTTCAATTGTCTTCTTGCAGAAAGATTATCACTGTAGCTGTTAAGAAATATTAGATCAATTAACAATAAATACCAACACGAAAAAATCAATTACAACGTGATTCTGTTCCGAACTTTTGTCGAATTGTTTTGTTGGCCTTACTTTTTTACTTCCGCATTGTCACAAAAACCACTCGGACATTGCTGCCACTGTTTTAGGTAAAAAAAAATATTGCTGTCATTTTTTCAGTCATTATATTTTTGAAATTCGAATAGTTGTTCCTTTTTATTAAGACCTCTTGTCAAAGAGCCTCAAAATCATTCAAAAATTACAAAAGGAAAAGAAAATAAATATAGTCCTTGATGGAGGAAATCGATTGCATCACGGTGTATATATGGAAAGAAAAATAGTTTGTAATGTGGTAGTCCAATAAGAACTGGACCCTTAATTTCTTACGATGTATATTAACCTCTAAATTTAGCTCATGTTATACACCACAAGAAATAGATTTACTGGTAACTTTCCTTCTGTAATGACACCATTTTGAAAAGCAATTAAAGGAGTTAGCCGTTACCTATCTAACATAAATACTACCAAAAGAAAAAAAATCCTTAGAAAATTATAGCACATCTTTTACAAGATTGTGACAATCTTTTGGTTTGAGAAAGAAAAGGTAGACTAAATTTTGTGATATATTCTGCAGATTTTGTCTCTAAGACAAAATGAATTCATCAAGAAGATGTGCGGGCTGTAAGTATTTAAGGAGGAGATGCCCTTCGGATTGCATTCTTTCACCCTATTTTCCTCCAAATAATCCTCAAAGGTTTTATTATGTCCACAAAATCTATGGTACTAGCAATGTTGCCAAGATGCTTCAGGTACTATTACGTTTTTAGCGTAACATTTTTATATGGTTTTTTTTATTATGTATTAAATCAAAATGAAACGAAATCCAATTCATGATTGATTTTTTTTTTTCTCTGTTTCTTATTTCTGGCTAACCAAACAGCAAGTTCCAGTGCACCTAAGGGCTGAAGCTGCAAACGCCATGTACTACGAAGCTTATTGTCGGATCAAAGATCCTGTTTATGGATGTGTTGGAATCATAACATCCTTAAACCATCAAATTTGTGAAGCGCAACGCGAAATTTCGAAAATTCAAGCAGAGATTGCTGTTCTTAGCAGCGTCGATGCTCAAATTTCAGGATTTCCAAATGAGCAAGTTGGATTAGTTGGAATTGATGTTGCACCATCAAACTATCTAGACAACTCTTTGGCTGGAATTGGAATTGGAAATGTTCCCTTTTCATCTACATATGACCCTTTCGCGTCCCCGTTTTACTAGGATTTCTACAGTTTCTTGGTTGTAATAATCAGTTTGAAGTTCTACTCGATTAAATTGTTATGAAATGGCAACTTTCATTTTGATTTCGATTGAGAAGTTGATTAGATCAGTGCTCTTTTTTTCTTTTTTTTTCTAGATTTAATGATGGTTTTGTGGCTACATTTTGAAGTGTCCAAATCCCTTTGAATTTTGAAACATCCAAAAGTTGAGTGCCCCTGCTTGTAAAAACAGTTTGAAAAGAATTCTTTTTAAACTGTTTTTACAAGCTAATTAGTTAAAAAGTTAATGCTATTTCCAATTTTACTTCATTGTTTATTTGCGATAGTTTTAGAGATTTTGATTTGTTTTCGTCAAAGTTCATTCCTTCATATAATTAGCATTACAATATTTTTAAGGCTCCGTTTGGTTAGATTGAATTGGAATTGAATTAATATTATAATTATATTGAATTCGAAATGTAATATTGAAATTGTAACTCAATCTTAATTCCTTTGTTTGGAAGATCTTAAGAATTACTAAGAATTGTTGTTCTAATACCAATTTTTGTGTTTGGATGCATTGAAATTTATATTCACTAGAATTAGAATTAGTTTGTTATAATCTAATTATCATATATATTTTATACTTCAATTCAAAAAAAGAATAATAAAATTACTTAATTTCTTATACCAAACTAATTTATCACATATATATATAAAATAAAATAAAAATTATCATGTGCATATATATTGGAATGACTTTTACTTATGTGTTATCTAATTCATACAACTTTTACTTATTTTTCTTAAGAAAATACACTTTTTTATTTAATGTATTATATTAAAATTTTAATTTATTGTGTATAAACAGGTATGGAGAAAAATAATTATGCAAGAATTATTAATATAAAAACAAGTAAAAAGTAGTAATCCATTGTTTTCCTCTTTTATTTTTTATTTTTTAATATTGTTTTTGAATTTTTGGTATTTTGCATTAGGAAATATTGTATTCAATATAAAGTCAGTTTATGTTGTTGTATTCATTGATATGTGGATTGAAATTAATTTAAATATGCATAAAATTATATATATTTTAGTATATAATTGTAGATGAAAATATATAGCTAAAATTAATGAAAACTTACATGACTTGTAGTAAAAAAAAAGCCATGTATAGTTCAAATTTATATAAATATAACATACTGGCACTTGTGGAATGACTTCTTTAAACAAATATATGAAAATTTTACATATTTACGGTGCCATCACATAATTAATTAAAAGAACAACAATAATAGAATAACGAGAATTTATGATTAAATGGGATAGTGACTTATAAAAAGACAGATACAAACCCTTCAATAAACATTTGTACTTATTAATTAAGGATAAATATATAATTAAACATATCATTTTCCTAAAAACAATTAATGCAAACTAATATAATCACTTATTAATTTTGTTCAATAAAGTCTAGGTCTAGTTTTATATATATACATATATTAAAAAATATTTTGATAGATGGATAGCCTCTTGATAACTATCAAATTGATAAATACTATATTTATCAAATAAAAGAATAAGAAAAACCAGGAATGCGATGAAAAAGGAAAAGAAAAAAATCGTTGGACTTAACTTAGGGGATTTTAAACCAAAATTTGTGCTGGAGCTGGGCCCTAAAGGAAGGGGAAAAAATAAAATAAAAATAAATATAAAAAAACACACACACACACATCAAAAGGGAAGGAGCAACCCATTTTTTTATAACCCGAAAACGACCCGTTCTTTGAACCGCGAAGTTTCTTTTTGAAAAGAAGTCTATAAGATTCGAATTGCAATTATTTGCTCTCACAAAAGAATTGAAAATAAAGAATTGAGCCACATCTTGAATCATAATTACAATTCTTCCACTTTTATTTTTATGTGCCAAACACAAGAATTGGAATTGAAGGCCCCAATTCCATTTCATGGGTCTAATTCAATCCAACCAAACAGAGCCTAAGAACTTTTTGGAGTTTAGCATTAATTATGGAGACAATAGATAAGCTCTCTTAACTTCAACAGTAATAAATAAAATTTTAAGCTAGTGAGATGTTTTATTTCTTTGGTGTCTGGTGTTTCCTTTCTCGATCAATTGATGATAATTTACTTTTTGTTCATAATTTTTCCTTTTATTTTGAACTTGTTTTGAAGCTCGAAAGCAAGAGACATGCATATACCTATTCCACAACGATGGAGGAAGGAATACTTTGATTAAGACGGTGCAATAGGAAAACAACTAAACACGTATCCAATATTTACCCATTTTCTTACTACTAGAAGCAATATCAATACACGATTCAAATTGGATTTAAGAGGTATTCATTTCATCTATAAGGTGAGTTCATAAAAATAATCCACATTGTAAATTGTAAACTGTGTTGTTTTTAATACAATCTACAATTTATTATTTAGGCTATTTTTGTAGAACAGATGGACTATTACATCTTCTCAAACAAGCAAAGAATGAAAAATCAATCAAACATATTATTTACGTTTAAATATATAGTCGATTATAATCAAGAAAGAAATTACAAAATTCAAGGAGATGAAACATTTCTATATCATAATTCAATTTTGTTTTTTGTAATATATACTTGCTCAAATTGGATTGCTCTCGCTTAAATCTTTTTCACCTTTTGATGAATTTGGGACTCCCGGTAGATGCTCTAATTTCATGAAAATAAATAAGATTAAAGAAAGACATGTTTATCATATAATTTGATTCTACACAGATAATGGAGTTTGATGCAAGTATATTTCACTGAACAAACCTAAGCCTATGCACACATTCAATTTTAAGAAATATTTTTATTTCGAAATGATTGTCTTAAAATTTGTAATTTTGAGAGAGGATGGAGTATAAATGAAGGGTGTTTATTTTCAAAGGTATCACCTTTACTACTTGAAGCCACATATTTTAAAATTGAACCATTTTACCCTTATAATTTTTTCAAATCAAATAATTTGACTAGAAAGAAAATTAAAAAAATTGAAATTTTTTTTTAAAAAAATTTGACCGACCGGGCGGTCCACCCGTCCCGGGTTAACCGGGGACGGGAAAGGAACCCGTCCTCTTGTTTGCCCGAACGCGTTCATTGCGCGTCCCGAGTTAAACCAGGACGAGTGGATTGCTCGGCCGGTCCCGGTTCGGTCCGATATGGTGAACCGGACCGGCCATGCCCTTTTTTTTAATTTTTAAAATTTTTTGTTTTTTTTATTTCTTTTGTAATTAAAAAATAGCAATATTTGTTGTTTTAAAAATTCTAAAAATTAAAAAATATCAATCGGATTCATTGCTATTTTTTTAATTTTTAGATTTTTTGTTGTAAATTAATCTAGTTTTTAGGTCATTAAATTTATTAATAATTTATTATTTGAGTTACATTAAGTATCACCAATCTTTGTAGTACAAAAAATAGTTAATCTATACACATATTTGTCACAATCTTTGTGGTACAATTATTATTTTTCATTATAAATGTATAATTATTATTTTAACTAAAAATTATCTTTAAAATAATGATTAAAGCAAAATTTATATTTTAATACCAATTCAAATAAATTAACTTAACAAATAATCTTAAATATTTTTTCAAGTAAAAATTAATTACTTGTTTATTTTCAAGTAAATATAAAATCGAGAGTTTAAGCACTAAAGTGTAAATATTGTTAATAATATTTAAAGTACGAGGTATGTAAGATGTAATGATACTGTGAATAAACTAACATTAAAATAAAAATTAATAATTTGTCCGTTCTCACGTGAATCGGACTGAATGACTTGCCCGGTTCGGTCTGAATGACAGGAGCAAAAAGGAAATTTTTTAAAATTGATGGTTTCAAGTACTAATTTGGGTGGCTGTAAAAATCCAACCCCTAAATGAAACGGTGAGATGTACAACTGGATAAATATCCTTCTTGGTGCCTTGGTGGTGCGCGTGTCAGTGCAAAGGGGAAATTTTGTGCTGAATAAGTCAATGCTAATGTAGGTTAGGCAAAACTGTTTGGGGCAATATCATCATGTCATCATTGCCATGGTAGCGTACCATATGTGGCGGTTATTACGCTCCTGCAATATTATTTACGCAAAATATACAACTCTTGATAGATAAGTACTAATTAACGTTAAGCAAAATACTTTTTTTTTCAATCCATTGTGGCGCACATTTTATTCTACGTGTAATACCCATGGAACTTTACCTCGCTCTTCAAAATAGAAAAATAACCAGATATACATTGACGCCCAAAAAAGTAATGTACGATTCCTCATAGAATTTTGTGAATTGCACTAAATATTGTACTATTACATGAATTCCCGTACTTCCAATTTTTTTATTTTTATTTATAATGGACTAAATCAATATGACTCCATTAAATTTCGGTGTTTCTTCCATTAAAAAATTTGCTGAAAGTTAATATTTTAATTGACGCAATGTATTTTAAATCACTATGGAAACAAGAGCAAACCTGCGTACATCTAATTATCCCAACCCAATATAGTTAGAAATATAATGGATACATTTATATTAATGTAGATGACTAAAATTATACTCCCCCCGTCTCATAATTATTGTCCACTTTGCCCAAAAACTTTTGTCCCAAAATTATTGTCCAATTTGACTTTTTATGGATCAAGTTACACATTTGTCCTTAGTAAAAAACATTATCCATAAAATCTTAGTGGTTAAACAATTACTTATGTAGGGGTATATCCAGTTGTTCAAGGTAAAATATAGTTAAGTTTGACTAAAAATAAAATTTTTCATTTTAGTAAAATTGGACAATAATTATGGGATGGAGGGAGTACAATTTAAATATTTTTGTAGAACATAAAGAATACATGATCATGAGACTCGTGAGTGGGACGAAGAGCACAGACTTTCGCCTAAAGTTTTTAAACAACATGTGGGCAAATGGCTAACCGACAAATAAAAAGTGTGTATTGGATAAGCAACTGATGAAACATTTAGAAAGAACATGAATTATTAGACAAATATCGGAGACTACACAATAATTTTAGCTTCTTTTCAAAACTTTGAGAAAAGATAATCAATGGTTTTGTTATCCAGCTGAAACGATTTAGTAAGAAGTTCAGGAGAAATATGTGGCTCCGTCCCGAAAACCGAATTCGCAACTGAAATAATCCCAGGATTTTGGCTATTAAACGCCACGATCCCCATCGCTTTCGTCTTCCCTACATTCCTTTGAAAATGAACCATCCCAATCGGGAACACAAACATATCTCCAGCCTTCAAAACCTTCGCGAAGAGACGGTTTTTCGATCCGTCGGGCGGGTTCGAAGTAACGAAGCCGGCGTAGATGGTTCCCTCCAGGAGGACGATGACCTCGGTGGCGCGAGGGTGGGTGTGCGGAGGCACGACTCCGTTCGGTTCGATATCGACACGTATTAGTGTGAGTCCTTGTGTGTTCAGCCCTGGAATTGAATTGACGTCGCCTACCGTTACGGAGAATCCCGTTGGAGCGGCGAATTTTCCGGGAAGGTGGAAGCCGAAGCCGAGAAAGTCGTCAACAGTGACTAATTTCGGGTTCTTGCACAACTTTCCATTTACAAACACTGTTGCAAATGTTTAGAGTGAATTATATATTTCAAGTTAAAAAATAATTACTCTTACAAAGTAATTAATACATTGTATGTCACATTATAATAATTATTTACTTTAGTGAAAATTGAGCTAAAAAGCGTAAAGCATGAAATTGTAGTAACTCACCAGCTGAGACTTGATCAGGAACAGCAACACAGAAGTCCTGCAAAGGGTCAAGATCATAGGCGGAGCAGAAAAGTGGGGAAGAAGATGAATCCACAACAACAGCGAAGGCAAGTGCCGCCCAGAAGAAGAAACTATTAGCAGCCATTATCAAAAAGTGATTATTTTCTTCCAAACGGGTATAATTATAGCCATATATTTATATATGAAAATCACATGGTGTTATGCTGGTGTTTTAGTTGACATTTTTCTTTCCCAATAGGACTTACGATTTTCTGTCTCATCAATCACTATCTATTCTTGCTGTCCCGCAAAGTTTGATTTTATTTCATCAATTTTTTTTTCTCCCTTATTCGTGTGTGTTCTGTTGATAGGGTGTCTACTGTGGAAAGATTCCAAACAATGTTGATAATAAGTCTCTTTTGGTGTTGATGCGCTATCAAAAGTGGATGAATTTATGATGGTTGAGTTTCTCTATAAGAATAAAAATCGATATGAATGATTAGGATTGTTATCTTGTACATGAACCATTAGGTGTTTAAGTTTTAACAAGATACATTTCACACCTAAATTCATCTCCAGTTGATTTGGATTAACGTTATTAAGGGCAAGGTTTCCAAAAATTTAGGTCTTTAATTTATTACACCTTTCGTCCCGAATTGATTGTCTGGTTTGGACTTTCTTTTTTTAATTGGGGATGGATTTTTGAAGCCAACAAAATTAGTACTCAAAGCCACCTCAAAATTTTTTTGACGATTTTGCCCCTGTCAGTAGAGAGAGAAAGAAAATGAGTAATTCAGAGGTAAAAAAAAAAAAACTTAAAAAATAACCAAACCGGTCAAAAAAACCGTCCCGGTTGAACCAGAGACGCGCAAGAAACGCGTCCGGCCATTGAACCGGACGCGTACATTGCGCGTCCCCGGTTCAACCGGGACGCGTATATTGCGCGGCCGGACCGGGTAAAATCGAACCGAACGCGCAATATACGCGTCCCGGTTGAACCGGGAACGGGCAATAAACGCGTCCGGTTCAATGGCCGGACGGGTTCAACACACGTCCCGGTTGAACCCGAGACGCGCAATATACGCGTCCGGTTCAATGGCCGGACGCGTATATTGCGCGTCCCTGGTTCAACCGGGACGCGTGTGTTGCGCGTTCCCGGTTCAACTGGGTTTTTTTTTTTATTTTTTTTAATAATTTTAATTTCATGCATGTTATGTTAATTTATTTGTTAATTTAATTAGTTATGTTAAGTAATTAAATTAGTTTAATTATATTTATTTATTGCATGTTATGTTAATTAAATTTAATTAGTTATGTTAAGTAAATTAATTAGTTTAAATTAATTAGTTGAATTATATTTTTATTTATTGCATGATTTGTTAATTTAATTAAGTAAGAATATTATTATTGTATATCTTAAATTAATTAGTTATGTTAAGTAATGTAATTAGTTGAATTTTATTTATCTATTTAGATTTAATTAATTAGAGATAATATTTATTTAGGGGGGAATAATTAAATAATTAAAGAATTTTGTGGAATAAGTATTTAATTTAGTAAATAATTAATCTATTTAATTAATCGCTAATATTTATTAGGTAGCTATTGGGAAATTTAATTTAGTAAATAATTAATCTATTTACTGTAAATATATGTTTTTTTATTATTTATTATAATTGTATAACTTTTTTAAATTATTGGAATATGTGTTTAATTTAATTTATTATGATGCAGTTTTTTATTGTTGTAATTTTATGTTTAATTTGCAAGATTCTTTAGAAGATTTTGGTGGCGATGGTCAAGATTATAGTATATTATTTGTTACAGATGAGGAATTTGCAAACAAGGATGATGCTGTTGCTTGGGTGAAAAGCATGGGCATGGTAAATGGTATGCTAATAAATGTAGTTTCTAGTAAGAAGAAGAATGTTGTTCTGATGAGATGCTGTAAAGGGGGAAAGGTGTCAGTTGATGATGGTGAATACTATGTCACATCAGATTCGAAGGCACAGATCACTGGGTGTAAATTTAAGTTATATGTGCACTCAGTGGATGGGAAGTGGCGCATTCGGGTGTATCCTGGTGAGTTTGGAATGCATAACCACGAGCTGTTTGACGAAGATCATCCCACGAGGGGCCTTAGCGATGGAGTGAAACAGCTTATACGGGATATATCCAAAGATGGGTGCAGACCGTGTCAGATCATGGCTGCGATTCAGAGGATCTTTCCTGATGAAAAAGTTAACAGATGGCAAGTGTACAATTTTAGGAAGAAATTGCGTAATGAGGGTTTCCCGGTATTGGGTGAATCGAGTGTCATGGATGTCGCGACGAAGACACTAGCGGTGGCCAAGTATCATGGTTACATCATCATGACAGATTGCAATTAGGAGACAGGTGTGCTGACTCGTGTATTTTTTGCACATCCTGATGCTGTCAATTTATTTTGCAGTTATTTCTGGGTCGTCGGGATAGACTCAACATACAAGACGAACAAGTACAAAATGCCGTTGGTTGAGTTTATTGGGATGACACCGTGCAACCAGAACTTCCTGATTGCATACGCCCTCTTGAGTGACGAGACTGCTGACAGTTATTATTGGGCTTTGAGATAGTTTAGGGATTTGCTACCTGGTCATCTGTCTCCGGCTGTTATTGTTACTGATCGGGAACCGGGGTTGATGGCGCCGCTGGGTATGGTATTTCCAGATTCATGCCACTTGTTGTGTGTTTGGCACGTTTATGAGAATGTAAAGCGACATCTCAACAAGGAATTGAAAATTGATGCCAAGATTGCAAATGGTTTTACATATGGGTTGTGGAAAGACGTTGTGGAAGCTAATAACCAGGATGAGTATAATAAAGCTGTTGCCGTAATAAACCGTCGTTGGCAGTCTTTTCCGAGAGTTCTTACTTATATCCAGAAGACATGGCTAGTGGTTGACTACAAATTCGTCAAGGCATGGACGAATGCTGTGTTTCATATGGGCAACACTACTACAGGTAGGGTGGAGAGCGCGCACAAGCAGTTAAAAACCTGGCTGGAAACATCCAGGCGTCCCTGGATACACTTTGGGCTAAGGTGCACTTGGAAATTCAGAGTCAGCTAACTAAAATACGGTAAGTTCTATTCCATTATATTAGAAGTTATATTTATTATAATATATTTAGTAATTATTTTGTTTTTATGGCATTTTACGTAGAATGTTTTACAGTAATTGGCTACATTCAGGTACAAACTGGAGTACTCAAGACAGAAAATTGGCACCCATTATTGCGGTATTCCACTGAACCGCTTGAAGTGTCAAGTTTCACATACTTGTTTGCAAAAGCTGAACACTGAGTGGTCGAAGGCGCAAGAGTGGAAAGAAGAAACCAATGACCGATGTGGTGTACTGGACTTGTCGAATTCCATGTGCGTGCGCCCTCAAAAAAGCTGCAGATGTCGGCACATCGATAACTCTTAAGCATATTCACCCATTCTGGGCGACCCTTAATATCGGTGAACAGGCTGGTACGAGTGCTCCTAGCGATGTGGATGACGAGGTCCTTTATACCAGACAGTTGATGGAAGAGCTAAACGAGTGTCCTAAGGCAGTACGACGTACTGTAAATAGGGTTCTCCACGATATTATGCATCCAGGCCAGTGTGGATTCAAACAACCCGAGGAGGTCAAGAGTAGGAAGGGGCGGCCTAAGGGGGCTAAATCAAAGAAAAAAAGCAGAGGCCAACACTCTTGCCCATGAACAATCCCCACAGAAAAAAGCAACTCCTAATTTGTGGGATTACAGGGACGAGGCGCAAGGAAAGTCGACCACAGTTACTAGTGATTCAAGTAAGAAGCGCCCCTCATCTTCAGGTGGTCGTACAGATGCATCCACAGGTACATGTTAAGAAGTAATTGTTCAGAATATTCTTTATTTATTATCAATTGTTCCAAATAACATTATTTCCGTGTAATGTACAGAGATCTTTGCGAGTGATATTTCACAGTATGGTTGCTACGACCTCATTCCATGGCCCATTCGGCCATATATTACCAGTTACCTTGATGTTGGTGCCGATGGCAATTGTGGATTTCGCGTAGTCGCGAGTAACATGTTTTTGAACCAGGAGAAGTGGCCGATGGCGAGAGAGGCAATGGCAAACGAGCTAAAACAGAATTGGCATCTGTACAAACGAATCTACGGGTATAAATACTTTTCATTTTCTATGTTATGATGTTTGCTGAACTTGGCAGTATTTTGCACAAATAATTGTATATGTAAATGCAGGACGTCCTTACAGGAAGAAGTCCGTCGTATACGGTGGAGTGGACAAGATTTCGCACCTGAGCGCCATTGGATGTGTGTGACGGACTTGTTCGTAGTTGCGACTATGAACAATGCAATTGTGTACTATTACGGTGCAGGGGAAGAGAACCAGTCGCTAAACTCTACATGTTGGACTATACTACCTGTCACTACACGCGGTGAGGCAACATGTCCGGCATTTGAGGTTGGGGTATGTCACCATGGTCTTTACAAGCACTTCATTCGGATCAATTTGGACGGTGACTTTCCAGTTCCACCAATTAATAATCGGTGGACTAAGGAACATCAGCCTAGCATTACTGGTTCGGAATTACCACTTCTTCCTAGAATTGAACATTGGTATAGGTTGGTCTCCTTCACCCGGATGCGGCCCTTGGATGATAATGATTACATTGATCTTAGTTTCTTAGATTAGATCCATGTAGGTTTGTTTGTTGTGATGATGATAATGATACTATCTACTATCTAATTTGTTTATTTTTTTATGATTTGTGCAATAACAAACCTTGTTGGCAATAAAGAAAAAAACTTACCACACGAACACCAAATAAGCTAACTTATATATAACACACAATCCATCATACCATCAAAAAAAAAAAAAATGCAGTCCAAGAAAGAGAAAAACAAACAAATCCAGTCCAAAAATACAACAATGTCAATGATCATGGGGCCTTATGATAACGGATCATCGTATCCTGCAGCTTCTCATCATATTCGTCAGCCAGGTTGCGATCGGACACTTTGACCTTTCTAATCAGGTCCCTGGTCAGCTTCCTCAATTCATTCATCCACTGAAAACACAAAATCCAAAAAAGGTTAAACCTATTTATAATATAGAAATGTATATCTACAAAAACTCAAAAAATAAAAAATACAACTTACATAATCCTGACTGCTCTTAGCTGGTGTAGAGACTGCAGATGGGTCAGTTGTCGGCAGCAAAAATGGATGTGAATACTGCCTGTACCATTCAAGGTACCCATCCTCACACTCTCCTACGATGTCACTGTTATAATTGTATCGCCATCTGGTCAAATTAAGACACGCTGACTCCGGGAATCTCCTCCAAGTACTGAGTGTGTCAATAGCAGAATGCTGTAAAAAGTACTGGGTAGTCTTGGGTCCTCGGAATGCATCATCAGAGGACATGGGCGAACGAGGAATGCTCTGTACGTAGCCAATCTGATGTATACATCTGTCTGGCATGTATGGCTCCTGCATGTTCCTATACATTATCCACCCACTATAGATAGTCCTAGGAACTATTCCTTGTTGGCCAGGTCCAAATGGCTCCCACTTAACCTGCAAAATAGTATTTAGATTATTTGTAAATATAATTTTCAAAAAATAAAAATGAAATACAGTCAAATAAAGCAATCAAGTACCTCTAACTCGGTGAAACGGTCGAGACGCTCCCTAACCTAACAAAGACGATCTGACACAGATGTCGGCCCCGCAAAAGATGGCGGTATCCAGTCATGTACTCTGGGCTTGTCATTACCCCCACGGGTAACTCGCCCTCCCTGGGGGCGGAAAATCGGAAAATACTCGTATATCCAGGCTTGCAGTAGGGTCAAATAACCACCTAACTGAGTGCACATTGCCCTACTAGCCATCCCTAACTGACGGTATAGGAACGCAAGCGTAGCAAAGCCCCACGAGTATGAACCCATATTCTCGATCCCAACCATCAGCTCATGTACAAGTGCAACACTGCACCTCCCACCACTCTTGCCCATGAACAACGTCGAGGCTAATAATACCCACAAGAAAGCACAGACCTGGATATTCTCGTCCGCTTTCTCGCATCGCTCAAGGATGAACGAATCAGAGACACCGCCCTGACTCCATTTGTAATCATTCATATCCATGCCAAGTATCCCTGCTGCATGTCTCCTCAAAAAATCTGTGTCGGACGTACCTGACACCAACTCTCCATCGACCTCAATGCCCAAAATATGATAAACATCATGTATCATGATGGTCATCTCCCCAAACGGGAAATGAAATGAGTTGGTGTCCGGCTGCCACCTCTCAACAAATGCCTGAACTAAGCCAAGATCAATATCTTCATGTATGAAGAAGGTGACCCAATCTAGTCCCCCGAATCTTGCCTCTCACATCATCATCCATATCTTTATACCACATCTTCAACTTATTCAGAATCTTTTCGCCTTTAAAAATCTTCAATGTGGGTCTATTGTATCCATGCCAGAAATGATAAGCAATATGCCCAAGGAAGCTAGGAATCACGCTACCATCTATCGGCCCACCAGGTACTTCATCTGTCACTAGCCATATAGTCGGATCAATGTCATCAGAAACTCTCAACTGACTGCTACCGCCTGTACCATGAATGAGTAAGCCAAATATTATTTATTACATTTTATACACATACAACAATTCAATAAATATAAGTAAAAATAATTAATTAAAAATAATTACAGAATATAAAATATAGATATTTGGTACCTGATGATGCAGTAGTGGTAACTGGACGTGTAGATACTCCAGTGGATCCGGGACCTCGGCTAGGGCCCACGGGATCAATGAGAGGGGGAGGACGTGTAGATACTCGAGCGGAGACGGGACCTCCCGAAACGTGTAGATACTCGAGCGGAGACGGGACCTCCGCGAGGGGGTACGGGATCAATGTAGGGGAGATGCCTGAGCGGGCGGGGACGAGGCGACTACCGGTGGATATACCTGTGAGAATTCACCCGGATGCGGGAAAGAGGGACTATGATATGGACTGCGCCACTCACCACTCTTAGGAGAAGGGATAGGGGTAGGGGGAGAGGGTAAACCGCGAGGACCAGGCCGGGGACAACTGGAGTACCGAGGAGGAGGGTAACTACTAAGATTATATATAGGCGTATCTCTGTGATGTGCACCCATCCTAACACTGTCCTGCAGATCATCCTCATTAAACTCATCCTCCTCATCCTCATCCCCCTTTTCCAGGTCGTCCTGAGAATACTCGAGTACATGAATCGGCTGACTAGACCGAGTCTGAAGCGGTACACTCCCCATAGTGACCTGAGTCATTCTCATTCGCTTCTTTTTCTCTTTTTCCTCTTTTTTCTTTCGACGACTCATGGTCAGATGACGCGTACGAACCTTATGCTTACTACTATCTTCAGTATCACGAGTATCACTATCATCATCATCATCATCATCACCATAAACCTATAAACAAAATTTTATTCATCGTCATCATATTTTCATAGTCTAAACAAATAATTATACACATATCCTAAATCCTAAATAGTTTAATAATTTAGTACAATTCATATAATAATTAAGTAAACTAAAGTACTTTACCAAATTTTAAATTAAATTACTATTTAATTAATTTAAAATACTCAACTATTTTAAAAAAGATTTATATTAATTTAATTAATCATTAACTACTTTACACACAATTTAAATTAGATTTACTAATCTACTATTACTATTAATGAAATTTGTTTTTAATGTTCAACTAATTTACATACTATTTAAATTAATTTAATCAATCAAAATGAGTAACTTTACTAATCTACTAATAATTAAATTAAAAATATAACCTAATTGCTTTGATAACTAATTAAAATAATGAGTAAATCAATTAAACTAATTAGGTACTGAACTAATCTACTATTAATTAAATTAGTTTTCTCATTCAACTAATTTACATACTATTTAAATTAATTTAATCAATTCAAATGATTAACTTTACTAATCTACTAATAACTTAATTAAAAATATAACCTAAATACTTTAATAACTATTTAAATTAATAAGTACATCAATCAAACTAATTAATGAACTAATCTATTATTAATCAAATTAAATTATTTACACAATTAAATTAAGTAACCAATCTAAATCACAAACTATTAAATAATAAAAAATTACTTACTAACCCTAATTACATTAAATCAAACATAATTAAAATATAATTACATTGTAATTAAACAAATTAAAAAAAAAATTGCAATCTGGCCGCCGGACGGCGCCGGAAGCCGGCCGGCGGCGCGACCGGGACGCGCAAGCAACGCGTCCCGGTTCAACCCGAAACGAGCAAACCGCCCATTCCGGGTTGAACCGGGACGCGTTGCTTGCGCTCGTTCCGAGTTGAACCGGGACGCGATGCTTGCACGTCCCGGTCGCGCCGCCGGACGGCTTCATTGCCCGTCCGGCGGCCATAAAAGCCTTTTTTTTTTTTCTTCAATTTACAAAGTTTTTTTTGAAAAAAAACGTACCCGTGATGAGATCGGCTCTTTCCCGCTTTGATTCTTCCGTGTTGCCATTAATTTTTCATCAAATTAGACTTCAAAATGGGGTTTAGAAGGGTGTTGGCTTCAAGTTTTCTCTCTTTTCTCCTTTGGTGGAAGTTTGAAATGTGGGGGGCAAATGGTCCAAAAAAATTTATGGTGACTTTAAGCAGTAAAGATGGTGGCTTCAAAAACTAACACCCTAACTTTTAATTAAATTGTACTAAAAATATACATTCAAATTGAGAGTCTGGTTGTTGATCAGGGGTCTTCAGTCTTCACTCGGTAACCTTCTCTTATCTTTGAAGGATATTCTTAAGCTTCTGGGAGACTGTTGTGGACGTGTGTTGATAGACTGGTTCACTCATGGCAATGGAACTGAACAAAGGATTGATAGAAATTTGGATTGCTAATTTCTAGGAATCGTTATGGGGCCTGGTTCACCATCATCTCTAGTTGTTAATACAATTAGTGATGCTTGGTTGCAGAAGATACCGGAATCGAAACTAAAGAAAATGTCATTTTTACCCTGGGTTCTAGATGGATTGAAAAAATCATTGTACTTCCAATTTAGCATTTATCTCTAAAGTTGCGCGTAACTGCATAATCTATTAAATTTAATTCTCAAACAATTTAAAAGGAACAAAAAATTGCAGACTGGATTCTACAAGGATTCACCCAAATAATTAATGGTTAAAAGAGATATTCACCCATATATTGGTGAATGTTTACAGGAGTTCACCTCGTTTTGATTCCTCGATATGATGGTACGTACCCATACGGAGTGTGCGGGAAAGTCACATTCTTATGTACCATTTCAAAATACTTACTATTCTCTCCGTCCTGAAATTATTGTCTAATTTAATATTTTATTTTTAGTATAATTATATTTGAAATGAAAATCAAAATTGGATAATAATTTTGAAACAGAGGGAATACTACATTTTTGTGTACTAAGTCACATATTTGTGTACCGTTTTTGTGAAGGACGGATGTAACATTTTTGTGTACCGTTTCAAACACTTATTTAGTGTACTAGGTACGCATAACAGCGTTGGGAGATTATTTTACTGAATATATTGTTATACATTTTTATGGGATTGAGGAAGTTCATTCATCTAAAATGATTGTCTATTTAGTATTTTCATTTTTAATCCAGAGATTACAATTAAGAGATTATTAATTACAATGTAGAACTATTTTTCAGAAGAAATGGAGTACAATTCAAAAATATTGGATGTTATTATAATTTGGAATATTTTTTACCAAAAATTTAGAGGGTGAAGAAACTAGTGTATAGTTACTAAATAGTAAGGATAAAAAGTTCTCATGACGAATACGGATGAACATTTTGGTACATAAACGAGAGATGAGATAAATTATTCACATTCAATTTTAAGATTTGTACTATAATTAGTACAAATTTAAAAATTTAATATTGATTTTTTTTTTAATATAGAGGGAGTACTTCAATTCTTTTTCTTCCTTTCTTTTCTTTTTTTTTTTTTGGATAAAAGTGATTTTATTAAAATTGTTGGAAAATGATTGATTGTCAAAGCTCCGCTAGGTAGATTAAATGATCTGACTCTTCAACGAAGTCCCACTGAAGTGTGCTATTTCAAGAGTTAATACGTTGTACTCACATCCTATTTAATGATGAACCGATGGCTAACATAAAAGATGGCAGGAAATGTTAATTAATACCGGACAAAACAGAAAGACAAAGTTTAGAGAACAAATTAATTCATCAGTCGACAAGTTTATGCAGATTTGAGATCGTGTCTAGCTAGTACTTTTTATTGTTAAATAAATCATTGACGCAGCTACCTAATAACTAGATACAATACAATTTGTATTTACGATAAAGAAGAACTTAAAAGCATCAAAACGGGGCAGGCATTAGTCTAAATCAAATGTATCAAGAAACTAAATTATAGAAACGGAGGCGAAATAAATAAATCTGTGTTGAGATTCAAAATATTTTCTCGAAAGAATTATCCATCTTCTTTACCGATTGATTATTTCTTGATTAACCGTTGTACTCCTTTAGGAAACATAATTTACGCTTAATTTGTGTGTACGATTGCTCTTTTTTCAGTAACATGCTAAACGAAGTTTACTATTTCTTTTGGTAATGGGTGAATTTTATTAGCAAAGTAAGGAAAGTAATGCACATCACTTCCTGATCATCACAAATTCACGAAAAGATCACCATAGTAAGAGATTAATTCTGACATCTCCTACTAAAGTGAAGAAAAATACTCTTTGTTTTAAAAAAAATAATCTATTTGAGTTTTTAAATTTGTACAGTACAAAACTCAAAATTTAAAATAGGCTAATTTTTTAGGACAGTAAGTAGTAGTATTTTATCATAAGTGTATTTAAATTTGTATAAACGGGATATCAACTGAAGAAAAGGACGTCAAAAAAACGACATGGTGAAGTAATAATGCACTAGAACTTTAACAGATTTTTGAGTTTGACAACATTATCATAAATACATAATCCCACAAAAAATTTCAAAGACTTGAGTCCACCGAGATGTGGTTCCCAAACTTATACAATAATTAGGGTTGAGCACTCTTTTGAGTTGGGCCACTCACTATCTTTCTAGTGGCATGATCACTGGACAATGTCAGAGCAGGCGTCATCCAACTACTCCATTTCACTTTCTCGCGGGTCCAACTCGATCGAGCAGGATTCCGCAGAGAAAAAATACTCATTAAGGTAAGTTTCTTGTTTGTTTCTTTTTTCCTTTTTAGTTTTTTCAGAATATTATCTTAATAACTGTTCTATCCCAACATATATTTTTATATTTTTAATATACATTTTTTACATTTTTAATATAAAAAAACACTTAAAAATACATATTAAAAAACGAAACACACACTAAAAACACACCTCTTTATATTTCGTTTTTTTCTTTAAAGAAAATAATTTTTGGACGTGTAAGAAGTTGCGTGGAAAATAAAAAATCTAAAATTAGAAAAAATATGGTTTGTTTTTTGAGTTTCTTATTCCAAAAACAGATGGAAACAAATAAATTCATATCAAGAACCGTCAATTAATTTCATATTCTTTCCTAGACATAATTTTAATAAAGTAGCTGACTCGTGAAAAAAAAAAAATTGTATAGTCAATTACTGCTCTATCGGTAACCTTGGAAATCAAATTCATGTTGAAATTTAGTCTCAATTTTTTTTTTTTTATTTGTTTTGGCGCACTAAGAAAATAGCTGGCTATGGTTCCCCGTTTTAATTACCAAATGAAAGTGAAAATTACAATCATTACTTAAAAACTTACCCAAATGTAAATCTACCATACACATAGTTCTAGCCATTAGTGATAGCCTATACGATACGGATGAATGTTAGTCTCAACTACCCACATTACATAATTCTAGCCACATTCTAGACATAGACAATGTGAGTATAGTAAGAGTTAACTTCCTTTATGAATGAACTCAAGATTATATTTATAGTCTCAACTCTCAACTGGACAGTATTGATTTATGGGACCCTGCCTATTTGGGTCAGATTCTCTTGAGCTAAGATTGGGCCCAGAGGAACGGGCTTAGGGATTCAGGCCCATCAATGCTGAACATGTTCGCCTTTCATCACCTTCACTTTGAACTCCATGGATCACAAAATCAAATTTTCGGACTATCCTTTTCAGATTAGTGGAATTGCAATATCAATTTCTTTTCCAATTTTTCAAATTAATCACTGTTGTCGTCAGTAGACACCCTGTAAATATGAAAAAAAAAATGTTTATCTATTTTTCTAGAACCACTTG